ACACTCCTCCCATCCCTGTACTGCTGAGTGTGTGAGCCCAGCCTTGCCCAGGGCCTGGTGAGCTCGGCCTGCAGGGCAGACTCTGCTCTTCTGATCCACGTTCTCGCCCTCAGCGTGCTGTGGATGGATGTGGTCAATGTCGGGGGCTCTCTGCGCCTCTCGGCCTTCGGCTGCCAGAATGGCTGTGTGGGCGTGGCGCTGGTGGACCAGTGCCGGATTGGTGAGTCTCCTGCTGCACAACTCAACAGCTCCACTCGCACACAGTGACACCAACGCAGCTACACTCACACAACTCCACTCGCACACAGTGACACCAACGCAGCTACACTCACGCAACCCCACTCGCACACAGTGACACCAACGCAGCTACACTCGCACAACTCCACTCGCACACAGTGACACCAACGCAGCTACACTCACACAATTACACTCGCGCACAGTGACACCAACGCAGCTACACTCACACAATTACACTCGCGCACAGTGACACCAACGCAGCTACACTCACACAATTACACTCGCACACAGTGACACCAACGCAGCTACACTCATACAGTGATACACCACACAAAAACACCAACACAGCTACATCAACACATTATATCTAAGACAGGTACAAACCTACACCTTCAGTACCACTAATTACACTAGCACAGTTACACTAACATAAATCACACTGTTACAACTATCAGCTGTACTAACAGCCACAAAACACAAATATTACTATCATTACACCTACTATAGTACAAATACACTGGTACTAAAATACTACCTAGATACAGCCGTACAATTACAATAAACCCAACTACACAAATAACACAGTAAAGCAATGTCTTCGAGTGTGCCTGTTTGAACAGTGTCATTGAACTCCAGTGTCAGAGCAGTGTGCTGACCTTTGTGTGCCCTTGTTGTTTTGTGGTCCAGAAGTTCTCCAGAGCTGGCGGATCCAGCACGACAGCCCCATCTCCACTGTGCTGCTCTTCCCGAGTCTGACTGGACCAGGCTCAGAGAGAGACAGTGAGAGGGGTATGTTTTTCAGTACTGATGGGGTGAAGGTCTCTGTAACAGCCATGTATGCATCTTACAGCTGTATCTGTCAGCTCTCAAAGTGTCTCTTTTTAGCGTCTGTGTATGTTAGCATAATATTTCATATATGGATTTTAGTAGTATTTTCTATCATAGAGCTGAGTTTGTGGCTGATACTAAAGATTGTGTTAAGAGGGGACTTGCCTCACTGCTAGGGTTAGGAAAGCCATAAGTAACACTACTGTTAAAGTTGTGTTTTAAATCCTTACATTAAGAGTGCGTGATGTACGTTTGACCTTACCTTGTAGCTTTGGTTAGTATTGTGCCTTTGCTCTGCCATCCTGGCTGTCTCTCCTTGTGGCAGTGTGTCTGCTCTGCTCTGATACCTCTTACAATGATTATGCATTTCAGAAGCAGACAGTAGTAACTACAGTCTGCTGGTGACCAGTACCATTGAGATGGCCGTGGTGTACAGGTGAGTGCTGTCCTGTCAGTCCCCCCAGGTCAGTAGGTCTCAGGTAAACAGTGTGCACAGTATTAAACCTTTGCTATTGTAAGTCATTATCACACCTGTGGTGAGGATCTGGAAATGTGCTATTCATCAGTTAGTCATTGATTGAAATGTGTTCTTCTGGATAGTTAGAGTGTTACAGTGTCTGGTCAGTGTGCTGTGCTGTGTTGTACAGATCACTGTCTGGTCAGTGTGCTGTGTTGTACAGATCAATGTCTGGTCAGTGTGCTGTGCTGTGCTGTGTTGTACAGATCACTGTCTGGTCAGTGTGCTGTGTTGTACAGATCAATGTCTGGTCAGTGTGCTGTGCTGTGCTGTGTTGTACAGATCACTGTCTGGTCAGTGTGCTGTGTTGTACAGATCAGTGCCTGGTCAGTGTGCTATTTCAGCAGAGATGTGCTGCTCCGCGGTCTGAGCGATCCAGCCGCCCTGCCGGACAGCGAGCAGTTTGACGCTGTGCTCTGTGCTCTCGTCACGGATGTTGATTTTGATGGTGAGGCGGAGATGCTGCTGGGGACCTATGGACAGGTGAGAGGGTGAGAGCGTGCGCGTGTGTGAGAGCAGCGCATGTGTTAAGCATGTGAGCGTGTGTGTTAAGCAAGCGCGCGTGTGAGAGAGCGTGCGCGCTTGTGAGAGCGAGCATGGGAGTTTGTGCTTGTGTGAGAGCATGTGAGTGTGAGAGCGAGTGTGTGAGTTTGTGCTTGTGTGAGAGCATGTGAATGTGAGAGTGAGTGTGTGAGTTTGTGCTTGTGTGAGAGCATGAGTGTGTGAGTTTGTGCTTGTGTGAGAGCATGAGTGTGTGAGTTTGTGCTTGTGTGAGAGCATGAGTGTGTGAGAAGTGTGAGTGTCAAGGGCTCCCCACACAGACAGATGGACACTGCGCCTCAAGCCCAGGGTGTGATGGCAAACATAAGTACCGTTGTGTTGAAATTATAACTGAACACTCAAGTAATGGAAAAGCCACGCAGTAGAGCAGTGTTAGTTGCAAACGGGCACTTTGCAACTCGCGGTGCAGCACCTGCTGTGACACACAGCCATCTGTTGTCAGAGAGCCTCTCGTCCCCCCTGAGGACACGGCAGGATCCTGGGCCAGGAGGGGGGACAGAGAGCACACAGCTGGAGGGCAGCCGCACTGTTGCCAAGGCCAGTCAGGTCGAGCCAGCCTGTGGGAGGCGTGTGCAACTCTGAGTTCCCGGAGCAATCAAACACACGCCCGCTGCAGAACATGCAGACTCCATAAAGACATACGTCCAGAACTTTGCACATTGTATGGACCCTTCCTTGCTGAACACTGTGTCAACGGAGCAGTTTGCATTCATCTTGCACAGGTCCTCAGGAAGCCCGCGCAGAAACCCTGAGCCCTCTCCACACTCGACCATGCATGTGACCTGCTTCCTGCCTTTGCACAGCCTCTGACCTGTTCGAGTCGAGGCTGCCCGTGTGCGGTTAAGTACAGCGGGAAGAAGTTTACACCCAGCATCAGGAAGCTCTGCCAGTTGTCCAGACTCACTGTGGGGAAAATGGCTGTGTGTGTGTTACTGTCGGGATTGCGTTTTCGCTGAGAGGTGTTGCAGGGAAGCAGGGTTATCAGAGGGATGACTGTCCAGTGTGCATGAGTGCTATTCACGGGGAGTGACTGTCATGCTCTGCCATCTCTCAGGAGCTGCTCTGCTATAAATACATCCTCCCTGAGAGGGGGAGGGGCCTGGGGACTGAGGGGCGGTTCCAGCTAGTATGGAGGCGGAGCTTCCAGAGTCCCCTGCTTTCACTTACCTACCTGGACCTGACTGGAGATGGACTGAGAGAGCTGGCCATACTGACACTGAAGGGGCTGCACACATTGCAGGTACACCCCTGCAACACGCTGCACATGGCTACAAAATTACACAAGACTGCCCATAGCCACACAGATACAGAGCTGCCTGACTGGTGTCTTGCATACCGCTAGCCACATATTGTAGATCCTGAAGGGAATCCACACACTGCAGGCACACAACTGCACAGCGCTCAACTCCAAAGGCAAACAATGTGCTAATGCAGAGCTAAACCTATGCACACTGAAGGGGATAGGGCATTGTAGGTACAAAATTATACAGCATTATACACAGCTGCCTAGCACTGAGCAGTTCGGTTTAGATCACTCAAGAACACTGCAGACGCTTCTTGTGTAACACCTGTTCTCTCTCTTCCTTCCTCAACCTTTTCCATCCCTGTCTCCAGCACGGTCTGACACGCACAGCTGATCTTGTGCTGCAGCGTCTGGCCAGCAGGGAGGTGCTGTTACACTTTGCATCAGACCCCCAGGAGCAGCTGGAGGGAGACAGCAGGGATAAGCCTGTCCAGGACCAGGAAGGCACTGCTCTGTAGCCCATGGGGGGTGGGCTGTTGTTAGTACTTTACTCTGACATGGCACTGGCACTGAACGCTCAAGTCAAGTCCAGTTCACCCCTGTCTTTCCTTGTGTATTTTATGTAAAGATTTTATTCTTTTTGACATTTTTTTGTATTGAATCAACGTTGCCAACATTTGTGAAACTGCATTGCTTGATACAATTCCTACCTTAAACTCCCCATTATGCCTTTAGAGGATTTTGTTCTGGTGCAAAATTTGCACCAGTTTTTCTAACTCCCATGTAAGTGCTAAAACTAACAAAAAATCCTAATTTATTACAATCCTTGTATATGTAATAAATATAATAATTTAACCCAGGCCTCTGTATTTTGTGCTACAGAGATAACTGGTCCAGACCTGCACTGTGCCATATTGTAAGCCTATAGTCCAATCAATCAATCAAGGTTTATTTATCAATGCACAACAATACAGCACACAGCGGTGGTTGTCGACAGTGAAATGCATTTTCCGCAAGCTCACCAAGGAGAGATAGGACCAAATTTGATAGAAGGTTACAAGAAGAATACAATCAATTAAACAATAACAATTTATAAGATTACGCAATAATAAAAAACCTCAGGCAAGCAAAAACCTCACAGTGGACTGGCTGTCAGTGGTCGTTTGGGTAATTGCTGGTGTCTGCTGTGGCTGGCTGTCCAGCAGTCTTATTGCTCTAGGGAAAAAGCGGTTTTGAAATCTGCTGGTCTTTGTCTGTAGGCTTCAGTATCGTTTTCCAGACGGTAGTAGGGAAAACAGACTGTGGTTTGGGTGACTGGGGTCCTTGAGTATAGACCTGGCTTTCTTGAGGCATCTAACAGAGTAGATATCCTCGATGTCCGGTAGCACGCAGCCGGTGATGAGCTGTGCCGACTTCACCACCCTCTGCAGTACTCTGTGATCCCGGGCGGAGCAGCTCCCATACCAGCAGTGATGCAGCCAGTCAGGATACTCTCAGCAGTGCACCTGTAGAAGTTGGCTTGGATATGTGACGGTATGCCAAACCTCTTTAGCCTAAAGAGAAAAAAAAAAACAGGCGCTGCCGTGCTGTTTTGACCACGATGTTGGTATGGTGAGACCAGGTTAAGTCCTCTGTGATGTTAACACCTAGGACCTTTAAACTGCTGACCCTCTCCACTGCAGACCTGTTGATGTAAATGGGAGTGTGGTCTGCTCTCTGATGTTTTCCGTAGTCCAAGGTCAACCCCTTAGTCTTGCAGGTGTTCAGAGAGACAGGTTGTTGTCCTGGCACCATGCTGCCAGGGTTTCAGCCGCCTCCTTATACGTAGTCTCTTCTCCATTTGTGATCGAGAGATCACTGGTCCAGTCTGTGTCCTATTGTAACCCTACAGTCCAGAGATGACTGGTCCAGTCTGTGTCCTATTGTAATCCTACAGTCCAGAGATCACTGGTCCAGTCTGTGTCATGTTGTAACCCTACAGTCCAGAGATCACTGGTCCAGTCTGTGTCATATTGTAACCCTACAGTCCAGAGATCACTGGTCCAGTCTGTGTCATATTGTAAACCTATACTCTAGAGATCACAGGTCCAGTCTGGGCTGTGTCACAATGTCACATATGTCCCTAGATTGAATCATATGCAGGTACAAACAGAACTAAAAATTTCCTATTATGTTTTAAGCCACCATCACAGATTTCACATTCTTGTGGCCTTGTTCCCTCTCTGAAAAATTGTCTCTTGGCTATAAAGACAGGAGACTGCGGAAGAGATTTACAGCTCTATTTTTGTGACATCACAGGGGGTGTGTGTGAAAGGAGGGTAGTTCTCTGTGTTAGATGACCAGACACCTGGGTCGCTGACCAATCAAGAGAAGGGAAGAGAAGGAAGCAGATCTGTGAAATGTGATTAGCAGAGTGAAGATAATCCAGTAATCCACTGGGAGAGAGAGAGAGCCTGAAGCAAACGGACTGAAGGAGACTGAAGAGAGTCATGGAATGAGGGATTGAAAGGAGGGACGATCTACGTTGTGAGGTTGTTCAGGGCAGACAGACAGTCGAGCCAGAGACTCTGGACTGAGGTAACCTACTTCTTCTGGCTAGACAGGTATCCCAGACATTGTGCTGGAGTGGCAGTCATTGCACTGGATGACAGCAGGAAACCAGGATTCCTAACAGGGAGGGTGTTTGCATCACTAGGGGCTGTGTCTGTGAGCAGAATTAGACAACTACCGGTGTTCTGGTGTAGAGGTCTGACATCACATGCACCCCTACTGCCTCTTCTGTGTGCAGACACTTCCACACATGGCTAAGCTGATCCTGTCAGGCTTAAACAATTATGAAACGGATGCTGGCACGACAGTCCTTGATACTCGAAGGCCAATAGTTTAACAGGGTTTTTACATTTTTTTCTCATAAGTAACACCTCTTATTGCATAGGTGGAGAAGTGTTTTAAAGCCCAGAATAAATTCTATTATTTATTCTATTATTCTATTATTATGTGTTTTGGGGGAAGACATTTAAATAATTTGTGTTTCAAGGACACACATGTAATGATATTTGAAATTAAATGTTTAGATTTCAGTGTGTTCACCTGTTTTCATCTGTAATCTGCTAGCAAGATTAGTGGATTTCATACCTTATTAAAATGAACAGTCTTGACTCAACATCAAGCACAGATGTTAGTCCTACCTAGGTCTGGATATCTTGATGAACCTGATGCTAAAAGTTCACATTCTCACTGTGGGGAACTTCACTGGACAAAACCAGACAAATATCCTTACTTTTTTTTGGAGGGAGGAATGGGGGAAATTTGCTTTTGTTATACAGGGTAAACGTGATTTGAATTAAAACGTGATAATATTTAACATTACTCAATATTAATACTTTGCAAATGCTAATTCCGTTCGGTTTTCTGAAGAGAAGCAGAGGAATGGGAACTGTTGTTTCACCCGGACGGATTTGGGGGTGGTATTGAAAGCAAGACGGACGGTAAAGGAAACGGACAATAACAATCTTTTGGAGGTGGGGCGCTGTGTGTCTAGTGCAGAAGAGGGACGGGTGAAATCAATTCAAGGCAACATCAAGAAACTGCAGTAAAATTCCGCGACGAACTGACGGAGAGAGGGGCGAGACGGATAAATGTCTGACCCACCAGGTAAACATTTCCCAGCGCCCGTGGGCCTTGTTCACTGGTGAAGCCTCGGTGTTTCCCAGAGCGGCATCCGCACGAATGGCTCCGAAGTGCGGTTGATGAGGTGGGTCGCAGCCGCCCCGGTCAGATTACCGGGATGTCAATCTCGGAAAGGCGGAATGGCCGGACAGGGGGTTTTGGGAGGGGGTCCAATACACAGCTCCTTATCCTAAACACTGTCGACTGCAGAGATTCCATAGTCTCGCAGCGAAAACAATACAGCTGTTCTTGCGCACCTTACTGGTTCAGCGTGCTGATTACTGTAGTTATGGCTTTCGTGACTCTGCGTGCGATTCGTTTTTACAAGCAAAGAATGTAAAGTTTTTTTTTTCGGTAATAACCTCAGTGGAATCCATAAACGTCTGCGAGTACAAGGGCTGCTCTGTACTAGGACGTAGTGGCGCACAGAGAGGATATCAGACTCTTACACAGCAATGCTCATGTATTGTTTCCCAGCTCCTGACAAAAAGGACGAAGAGGCCACAATCGCAGAGCCTGAGGTGAGGAATGGCTGTGGCTGAAGAGCACAGTGGCAGAGTGACAGACTGACACACGGGGGGGAGACATTGACACAGGCTGACGCACTAGTTTAATGCTATAGATCGACACCGACTGATACAGGGTGTAACACTGACTGACACTTGACAGTCATTGTCTCTCATTCTGACTGGTTGACAAATTGACATACTGCCTAAAACAGTCTGTATCCTGATGAGCTTGTCAGACGGGACAGTTGAAATAAAATCTGGAATCAAAAGCTCATTCTGGCTACTTCCTCTCCACAGGAGGACCAATCAGGGGACAGCAGCGACGAGGGCGGGGCCACTGGAGACACTGAGAGTGAGTGACAGCTGTGGGGGAGGGGCTTGGGCTCTGATTGCCAACCCCATGGGATCATGCTGGTCTGACCATCTGAGCCCATCATCCACTTAGTACTGGTTAAGGACGGGGTATTAATATCAGCCCAAAATTAAAGTAACTCCACACATGAATTAAACATGAAGCGTTAGCTGTCCAGATCCCGATTAGCTTTAATCTGGAACTTCCCAGTGTGAGTTCATGTGAGTTCAGGACTGTGGTCTGAGCTTTTGTGCCCTAACTAGGGAAGTGAGCAGTGCAAAAACACCTCTGTCCCCATTATGGGAATTGAAACCTATTTGCTAATGGGTTCATGTTGAATTGAAACCTATTTATTAATGGGTTCATGTTCAGTGTATGGTGTAACGTGTTGTGTCTGTAAATCAAATTTCCCATCTGGAAAATAAAGAAAGGAAGACAGAATCCGGGTGTTCATTTCAAATAAACTGGGCATGTCTGTGCTGTACGAAGAGCTGTAATCTTGCAGTGTAAAAACCGTGGAAGAAAGGATGACACGTTTTCACATTGAGTCCGTGCCGTGTCTGGAGCACAGGCTGAGGATTGCTGTTGATTGATTGATTGATTGATTGACGTGGGAATCTGCGACACGCAGTACAGCCATGTGGCTGAAGCTGAAAACCCAGCTTCTTTCAAGAGACTAGCGGGAGGCGAACCCCCCCTGATCGTTGAGCTGGAATAGCTTCCTCTCTCCGCTCGCCACAGAAGCTGCGCGTTTCCCAGCGGAGGGATTAAAAACACGTCGACTCCAATGATTTTGCCCTGGTAATTGCGCGCCCCTCCCCCCCCCGCCTCTGTGACACACGCGTGTGTGTGTGTGTGTGTGGGCTGATCGTCAAGTGAGGAATCCGAGGTGGCTGAAACAGTACAGAAGGTCCAGTGGAAACAAGAGGAGCTCCTTCCGCTTGGCCCTTCCTCTTTCCTTCATTCCTAAGTGACAGATCCCTACTTAGCAGCTTCTTGACCCCTTCGGAGCCCTGACCTGGGGATGTGGGTGCCTGTTTCAGCAGTTCCATTGGGCACTTTCATCCAGACACCCTCTGCGTCTCTCTGCGTCTCTCTGCGTCTCTCTGCGTCTCTCTGCGTCTCTCTGCGTCTCTGCTCCCAGACTCACCTGTTCTCTTCCTCCTCTGTTTCCCAGTGGAGTTCCTGAGGAATCTGTTTTCGCAGACTCTGGGTCTCGGTTCCGGTTCTAGGGAGAAGGTTCTGGATGAGCTGAGCTTGGAGGGGGTGGCCCGATACATCCAGAGCGGCAACTGTGAGTTGTGACACACACACACACACACACACACACACACACACACTGCTGCATGACTCCAGCTGCACGGCTGTAACTGTAGCCCCGTAACCACTTGTGTCTGAGCACACAACTACACAACCCTGCAAGTGAACAGCTGCAGAATCGTCTGCATGCAGAGCTTGGCAACTATAAAGATGCGTAACGATGAGTCCCCTCTCACAACTGGAGAACCACACATCTGTACAGATCTGTAGCTCTGTCAGACACATTTGTGGGATAACATTGGGAACATTTTCCTCTACTCATCCACTGAGATCTACCAGTCTGTGTCACGGGATTAGTTCTTGCAGTGCTGTGCTTGGTTGCGTGGTGTGTCATTTTGTCAGTGTGTTAGTGAAGTGCTCAGTGTGTCACTCAGTGTGTCACGTGTGACTCCCTGCCTTTCTCCTTCAGGTAAAAACGTTATCTGCATGGTGGGAGCAGGAATATCGACGTGTGAGTACTGTCCCCCTCCCCCTCTGTGCAATCTGAGTGCTCAGCAGTCTGTAGTGTTCAGCAGTGTTCACCCTGCTTTCTGTCTTTCTCTGTCTGGTAGCGGCTGGCATTCCAGATTTCCGCTCTCCTGATACGGGGCTGTATGCCAACCTGCAGAAGTACAACTTGCCCTACCCTGAGGCCATCTTTCAGATCGACTACTTCAAGGTCTGGCCCTGAGTCTCACGGCCCGAGTCTCGCCTCCTCGCTGCCTT